GCACGCAGATGGCCCGCTGGTAGGCTTTCCTGAGCTGGTCCATCTTTTGCTGATCCTGCCATTGACTTCCTCCGACCGTGCCGGGGCCAAACTTGATAAACTGGATGTATTCTGCCCAAATCTTGCCAGAATCCTTGTCCAGACCAATGTTGTCAATCACGAACTCGTAGGCTTGGGAGACGGTTTGGCGAGCCTGGCCGGTGCTATCGTTCAGGTCATTACGACGGCGAATGTAGTCCAAATACCGGGTCCAGAGATTGACGTTGGGAGTGGTCATAAGACATTTGGCGAAGATGCCCTCGGCTTGGGGAAAGTTATTGAGGCTAAGCTCAAGATCGAGATACTCGACCCAAATATCGGCCTGACTGTCGTTAGCTTGGACTGTTTTGTGTGCCATAGATATGCTGGCTGACTCACGGCTTGGGGAAAGATGGCGAGGAATCTTTCATAGACCTGTCTTGCACCATCAATGTCATTCCTGGCTCTCTTTTCCTTCATCAACTCCAACCAAGCATTCATTGCGCCTCGGGGATCATCGCGGATCTGGTCTTCGTAAATGGCTACTCTATCAGGAGCCGGCTGGGTCACGGGGGTAGGGTCGACGGCAGGGGCAGCGGAATTCGGTGTGGTCGGAACAGCTGCGGTAGTTGCGCCGGATTGGTGAGACACCTGTTGGGGCACTGGAGGTGCATTAAAAGTAGTAGCACCAGCATTGTCTTGGACGGTCAATGTGGCAGTCTGGAGAGCAGGAGAATGCGACTGAGGGGCAGCAGTAGCAGAGGCGGGAGCCGGAGCTGGAGCAGAACCACCACTTGATGAAGCACCAGAGCCCGTCTCTTTATGCGCAACTTGGTGTGGTTGTTGTTGCTGTTGCTGCTGCTGTTGTGGTTCACCATCATCATCACCATCTTCATCCTCGTCGTCAGAGTCTCCCACTAAGAAGCCTCCAGCGGTCCGAGGTTTCTTGGCCACAGGGGCGGCAGGCTGGGGAGCGGTCTTGGAATCTTCTTGAGGAGCAGGGGCAGAAGGAGCGGGAACAGAAGACGTGACGACAGAGGCAGGATCGTAGTCGTCACCCACATCATCGGTGTTTCCATCTTGCGATGGGTGATCACCTAGGTCATTAGGGTTTGATTCAACGGAGTATTCTGCTTCTTGATGTTCCGAGCTATGCTGAATATCTTGTTGCTCGCTGCCCTCAGCCTCCCCGTATTGTTCGCTGCCATCAGCCTCGCCATAGTCCTCTTGCTCCTCCCACGAGGCAGCGTTAATGTTTGTGGGGTCGTAGTCGTCGGACATGATTTATGAGTTCAAGTTGGAAACGAAAGATGAAGCGGTTTGATCTAGCTTTGGAAGAGCAGTATTTCTCGTGGAAGTGGACGGGGTGTGGTCGAGGCGCGTCGATATCGCAGGGCGGCAAAGAGAACAGTTGGAATCAGGGCCGTGAAGACGGGTGACCTATGCTTGCATATTGCTGCTACGGTAGGTGCTGCGGCTGTAGCTAGCTGTATATGTAGCTCAGGTATAGCTGTCGGGGTCCGTCACGGTCGCGGTCGCGCAGTTTGAGGCTGGATGGGGGAGGAGAGGTCAAAGTCAAAAAGAGCTGATAACCAGTTGACTGGACACCAACAAAGAATCCACCCAAAGGGTGTAAAAAAGAAGAAGAAAAAAAACTTGTTGATATTGCGCAAATACTATCGTATTCCAGAATTCGTCGGAGAGGATGGGCGAATGTCGTAAGGTTCTTGGAGTCGGTGTGGATTTGTATTTTGTTGAGTGTGTTGTTGTTCGTTTTCTCCGTCGTCGAATGGAAGATTGGAAGCAAAAGAAAGGCCAAAGTTGGAAAGCGGACATTCGACCTCTTGCAGCAACCAACGACGGAACTCACATTGCCCGAGCTTTGACAGTTCTGCTGCTGCACTCACTGCAGTCACTCACTGAAAGCAAAAGTCCGTCGCGACGCCAGAGCGCAATCCAACTGAGTTCAATGGACGACGCTGAGTGGTCGGATGCTTTCAAATTATGGGTCGGTTCTTTCCTCTGGCTTTTTTCAAGCTTCAAAGCGAGGATCCACTCTGGCAGCAAACCATGAGGCTGAAAGTGGCTGGCACCTTGGAATAATGTGGCTTCTTCGCTCAGATTCTGGCCCGATGCCTGCCACACCAAGGTGTTGAATTGCCGGCGGCAGGACTACAAGCGGGAACTTAAACGCGTTCCTGTTCGTCCACTTCTTTCAATTTACGCGACTCACACCACTGCACATGTCCCGCCCGTACTTATCAGGCACCAGCACAAAATAGAAGGAGCAGAATTGAAGACGGAAAGATACACAATGAAACGAAACTCCAAAGCCATCTGAACCACTACTGCACTTCTCTGTTATAGTTCTCGGTTGGTAAACACACCAAATGTATCAATACGTACGGGATCAAGTGTAATAGGAACAGCTCTGCCCGCGTGTGCAATGTAATGTCCATGATAGGCGCCGTCCTGTCCCTCTTTCCATTTCGTTGCATTTCAGTTCTTGTCCCACTCCAACTGGCCATTTCCCCTCGCAGTCCGCATCCATTGCACAGTCCTGTCCCGTCTTGTCTTGTCCCCCTCCTTGCATAATTAAGCTGGCTGGACACTTGACTTTGACAGACCACGCTCCACTTTCTTCTCCAATCTCTCCTCCACCAAAACAAACACCACATCCACGCAAGACAAGCCAGCAACCAGCAAGTCTTGCCCCAAAACATCTTCTTCCCTTTTTCTTCTTATCTCCCTTCTCCAGGGAGTTGTCTTCTCGTATTGCTGTATCATCACTTGGTACATTCGTTCTACCAACTATAAATACCTGCGCGACTAGATACCACCACCACGACCCCCACCACCACTTCTTGCGACATCTTCACATCTTTGTCAGTTTGCCCACGCGGCAACACCACCACCGCCAAGATGTCTGTCGTCTCGCTTCTCGGGGTCAATGTCATGAACAACCCCGCCAAGTTCACCGACAAGTACCTCTTCGAAATCACCTTCGAATGCCTTGAGCATCTTGAGAAGGGTATGCTTCTCCTCCGCCCTCTTCTTGCCCCTCATTCGCATCTCTTCGCGTTGTGATCTTGGCGCTAACCGTCGCGTATGTGTACCAGACCTCGAATGGAAGCTAACCTACGTCGGCTCCGCCACCTCGGACAACTACGACCAGGAACTCGACTCCCTCCTCGTTGGCCCAATTCCCGTTGGCGTCAACAAGTTCATTTTCGAGGCCGAGCCTCCTGACACAAAGCGCATCCCCATCGACGAGCTTCTGGGCGTCACGGTGATACTGTTGACGTGCGCCTACGACGGTCGCGAGTTTGTGCGCGTTGGCTACTACGTCAACAACGAGTACGAGAGCGAGGAGCTCATCAATGATCCGCCCCCAAAGCCCGTTATTGAGAAGATCCGCCGCAACGTTCTGGCCGAGAAGCCAAGAGTCACGCGATTTGCTATCAAGTGGTATGTGTTGCCCTGATACGATACTAAAGTTTTTCTCGTTACCTCTGCCTACGATGGCGCGACGGCGCGGAAGGACGCGGCACGCCCCACTGCCCCTCCCTTCGGTCTTAGTTGCCCAGCAACACAATCTCCCTACCTACTACTATTCCTCCCTTTACCACATACCCATGCTAACACAATCAACCACAGGGACTCTGAAGCCTCCGCTCCTCCTGAATTCCCTCCCGAACAGCCCGAAGCCGACGAGGTCGCCGACGAAGAAGAGTACGGCGCCGATGAACTCGCTGAACAATCGAGCATCGCCGACCCCGCCGTCAACGGCGGCATGGAAGTTGAGGGCCAGCCAAATGGCGCCATCGTAATCGAGGAAGACGAGATGTCCGAAGACGGCAGTGTCGATCTTGAGAACGAATCCGAGGACGAGCTGGACGGTGAGGGCGACGCCGAGGGTGAGCTCGAGCAAGGACAGGATGAGGACATTGAGATGGGCGATGAGATGGAGATTGATGACCACCCAAAGCAGCAGGGCATGGCCATGGCTCAATAGAGTAAGACCATGGAAAAGGACGGGGAGATGTTGATTAGCTCTCCGCCGGGTTCGGAGATGAAGACTGCGAGAAATCACCATAAAAGGCAAATTCTGCGAGAAAGGATCATTGGTCTGTGATCATGGGGTGAAGAGCGATGGATGGGATACCAAGAGCTTCAATATCCTGCGGTCGAGGCCAAGCTGTACAGCTGATACAAGCAAGCGGATGGGAAACGGCTGGGCTCTTCCACTCCCACTGGATCCTGTCTGTCTCTATCCCAACCAAGGGAGCGGTGTGATTGAGAGGGTCATTAGCTGGATGAGATGGAGTCCCGGCGGTTATTGTCTTGTGCTGACTGCTCAGCTTCCCTCGTTTGGATGCGGGCAGTAAGTGGGTGGAGGCTGACGAGTTATGTCTATTTTATTGCTTTCTGTGTGTTGCTGTGTCAATCTGTGTTGTCTGTTGCTTTTGCAAAACATACATTGTTGCTGGCTGCCTGGTGCTGGTGGCGTGTTATCATACCCTACTTTTAGAAAGCAAAGAACATGGAAGAAAGAGAATTGATTGAGGTCGGTTCATGTCTGCCTACCCTGGTACTTGATGTCCACAGGTCGTGATCTCTTCAGGTCTGAATCATTCCTTGAAATCTTTACGCCTCACCAAACGTGTGTATTTCTGCTTGCTCATGTCTTGGTTCCTCGACACTTCCATGCCTTCTTCTTGACGATGCTAGCGAGACTGAATCAAAACAAACCAAAGCGGGAAAGAGGAAAGTGAAGGAAAAAAAAAAAAAAGATTAAAAAAATTTATAAAAAAGAAAGAAAGAAAGAAGGGAACCGAAAAGGAACACGAAAGGAACAAAACGTCGACTGTGGGAATGTCAGTGATCTCTTTACTTGCTTACGGAGGACTCAAAGATAAGGTAGCGTAGGTAGTCAACAAAACAGGACATTGGTGACAAAATCAACAGCAAGAGGCTTCTCCACTCAGTCATCATACAATACTTCTACTTAGCATACGAGATATCATCGATATAATCCGCAAAAAATCCATTGTGCTGCTTTTCCCAACCCCCAAAATTCCCCTAATCGACAATTACTCACTACATCCATCCCCATGGCAACCATCCAGTATTCTATCATATCCCATCCCGGTATTTCTACAACACCAACAGACATCTCAACACATTTTTATCTATTCATTCCCTCTGCACCTCAATCCTCTCCACCAACTCCCCTCCTATCCTCGCAATCTCACTCAGGATAGCCTCCCTATTCACTTCCACCAGCTGCTCTTCTTCTTCCTTCTCCTTATCCTCATCATCTTTCTCATCACCGCCAAGCTTCCTCTTACCCGCCGACTTGACCGGCTTATAAGAAGTCCCCAAATTAACCTTCAACCCCCTCCTTCCCAGAGTAGGATTCCAAATAGCGCCCACGACCTTCTCCTCCTCTCCTCCTCTAAAGAACAGCAGCGGCGCAGAAGATCCAGATCCGTAAACCTGCTCGAGTTTCTCAAAGAAGGTATCAACAGGTGCAGAAGGCAGAGGCAAGGCATCTTCACCCGCAGTAGCAGACAAGTTCTTGTACTTGCTTCCGCTGCTGGACTTCGTAGTGGTCGAGGTAAGCTCCTCGCTCGGGTAAACTTTGCTTACTGCCTTGATGGCTTTGGGCGAAAGGTGCATTAGGACATCATATTCCTTCGTGCTGGGGACGAACAGCCGTCTGGCGTCCAACTCGACGCCCTCTTCGCGAATGACGCGACAAGCGGTCTTGGCAAGGGCAGTCATGCGTGCTGCAACGACTTTGCTGGGCTGTGCGATGCCGTTGACGGTGGTGTAAGCGACGCCAGAAGATTCCTGCGCCGTGGCGACGAAGAGGACGGTGTGGTTCATGAGCGGATCGATCTTGCGCCAGGCTTCGAGACGGGTGGCGATGGCGGAGCGTTCGGATGGTGGCATGTCGCTGTTGGTGTCGACGATGAGCGGCTCGGAACGCCAGTCCCATCTGCTGAGGAAAAGGAGGGCGCGGAGAAGGCCGACGGAGGGGGAGGAAGGTGCGTCCCAGGGGTAAGGGCTCAAGAAAGTTTGGAGGGCGACGAGCTCGATGAAGTCGGGGGTGAAGTGGGAGGCGAGTTTGTGCGAGGAGAACCAGTGCTTGAGCAGGCGGACGGTGGGCGAGAAGGCGGGGAAGCGGGTGGCGAAAGTGTTGATGGATTGGGTGTGCAGAGGGAGGTGGTAGTAGAGTCTGCGGAAGTTGGAGAGGAGCACGGAGGCTTGGTGGCGGTGGTGTTGGTCGATGGTCTTGTCGTGCGATTGGCGCGTGAGGAGGGCCTCTTCGAGGTCGGAGTGGATGCGCAGGCGGAAGGCAGGGCCGGACTCGTAGACGATGTCGAGGTAGGCGAGGTTCTCGAGTTCCGTGTTGGTGGTGGTAGAGGACTCGAGACCGACGTAGGAGCGGACCTCGCCGGGTTTGGAACGCTCCAAGAGGTCGCCGATCATGCGCAGGAAGGCGATCTTGGTGCGTTGGATGGCCACGATGGATTCGGGCCACTTGCCGGAGGCTTCGAAGGAGATGACGCATTCCAGGGGGCGTGGGCCGGATTTGGTGACGGTCGAGAAGGGCACCTTGACGGAGGCGTGTCGCAGTTCGGGGCAGATGGGGGCGATTTGCCTGACGTGCAGCGGCATGTCGTCCAAGTCGCGGATATCCTTCTCGAAGGAGGAAAAGGCCTTGCGAGCGGCGTTGAAGACGGAGGTGTCGGTCGGCTTGATAGGGATCAGCTCGGTGAAGCCGTCGCCGTGGAAGGTGAGCTCGTCTTCGAGGTAGGCAACGCGAAGATGCAGCTTAAGGATGTAGCGCATGATTTCCTCGCACAGGTCGAAGGGAGAGGTGGACGACCAAATCAAGGTCTCCCTGATGGAGTCACCCTCGAACCGACGAAGTTCCGACTTCTCACCCCAAAACCGCTGGAACCTGGCGCATTCCTCCTTCTCCTCGTTGCTAGGTCCAGCGGCCGGACCACGGTCGACAGAGCGGGTCATGTTGGCGGCATTGAAGAGGACACCAATTTCGATTGTGTGGTTCTGCTTAGTGGAAGGCTTCTTGGTGAGATCCCAGGGTGAGCTCTTGGGTAGTTGAATGTGAATCGACCGAGCCCTTTCACCCAGTTCTTCGTCCTGAAGAGCCCGCTTGAGTACCCGGTGCACCTTGTCGCTGTATTCCCATAGCCGTCCCCGGCAGTCGATCGGTTCTGTCTTGTCCTGCTTTCCATCGTAGTTGAGGTGGGCAATAAGGTCGTAGTTTTGCCAGGGGAGGTCGGCCTTGAGGATGAAAGTAGGGGTAAACTGGTCGGCAGTGCTGTCGTTGAGAAGGCTCCTCGTCCACTTGGCATGTTGGTGTAGCTTGGCCGCGGACCAGTTGCTCATCTTGAAGGCAATATTCAAACCACGAACAGCGTCGAAGAGAACCGGACCAGCGGTTTCGGACTCGACGGCGGCAGTACCCAACACACACGACTTCTCGGACAGGTTAGTAACAGACAGGAACTGGACCATGGCCTTGAACAGCTGGGTGGCGCTCAAGGATGTAGACAAGGGCGCATGTCCTTTGGTGCTGTCGCCGCTTTGGAGCAGAAGCGCCAAAAGTACCGCCCATTCAAAGTGACCAAAACCACCATCCGCCATGTCACTTCCCAGTCCTCGTTGTTGCAACCACACCCGACCAAGGATGCAAGCCTTCTTGAACGCGGCGCATTTCTTTTCCGTTTGTCGCAAGAGCTTCAGGTAGGGGAAGAAGCAGGACTCGGAAACCACAGTCGAGTTGTAGAACGGCGTAGGCTTGGTCGCGGCCTTGGACTCGTCACCGCCAGCTTTGCGCACAAGGGTAGCGCCCAAGTGAAGCTTTGATTTGGGGAAGAAGTTGTCTGGGGCGCAAGGGATGATGCGCACTCTGTAGTCCAGTCGGCCCTCCTTCTTCTCTCCTTCCACCTTTAGTTTCAACGACAGAATGGGAGAGAGGGTGTTCCCGTTCAAATATTCATATGAAAGCTCTCCGTCCTCAGCCAAGTCCTTTTGTAGGGCAGCAGCCACAACACCGAGGAAGTAGGCTCTCTTGTAAAAGTATCGCAGGTCGAGGTAGTCCTTCTCTTGCAGAGTCTCGCCGGGGATCACAACCACCATATCCACAGCATGGCTCTTTTGGGCCTTGATCATGGTTTTGGACACATAGCTGCCGACAACGTTGAACTGGGAAGGCTTTGCGAAGGCGACCTTGTAGTTGGACTTGTCGGACGGGCGCGGTTCGGGGAACGGGATCTGGATCTTGTGTTTCTTTTCGAGCTTGGTGGCAGCCTCGGAAATCTGGAGAGCATCGTGGGCTTCGATGGCTTCGATGGAGCCCTTGATCTTGTGGAGGAGGGAGTCGACGCCTTCGAGGGCCGTGGCATAGTCGAGCTTCACTTCGTCGACGAGTTCTTCGGCTTCGAGGATGAATGCGCGGCCACGGGAGAGACCCGAGGAAGCAGCGGCGTCGATGTTGCCAACTGCGCTTTCACTGCCGCGCGAGTGACCAATCTTTCGTCGTTTTGCTGACCCTGGTTCCATTGTGTATGTGTGGTGGTATAGGTAGGTATATAACGGTGGTGGTAGTGGTGATGGTGGTGTTGGTGGAGGAGGATGTCCTGGGAATGGAATGGAGACAGGAAAATTGATAGTGACAAGATACTGAGAGAGCACTGAAAGCCAACAGTGGACCGAGCGTCGTCCCTCCAATTCTCCAAATTCGAGTCTCGTTCCAGTTTGCGACGGGAATTCCCAAATTTTTTGAGACTCTGGAGCTCCGATAAGCGATAAGAGGTCAATCCACAAACACCTCAGTGGAAGACCCCGACAGGGGTAGTGTTAATTGTGGGGTTCAACTGACAGACAGTGAGCGGCCCCACGTCTATGATGCACAAAGTCCCACTGCACTGCACATTGTGCCTGCTTCAGTTGATTTCAATGTTCACTTGTTAGCCCACCCGCTGTCGCCAAACACAAAGCTTAACACTCCAACATCACCACCACCCACACTCGACATCGCAACATTCAATTGTTTACCTCTTTTTCCCTTCTTCTTATTCGTGTCATTTCCTATTTGCCATTTCACTTCCATTTTCGTTGCCATCTGTCCGTAACAAACATACAGTAGGTAGTAACCTACTTAACAGGGCACCATGTCCACCAAACAGCTCGTCAAGGCGGCTGCCGAGGCCATCAAGAAGCAGCAGTGGGACGACGCCATCGAGGGCGCAAAGAACATCATCGACAAGGACAGCAAGAGCTACCAGGGACATATCCTCCTGGCCTTTGCTCTCGACAAGAAGGGGAGGCTCGAAGAAGCAGAGAACACATACCTCGCCGCCACCCGACTCAAGCCAGAAGAGAAGGAAGCGTGGCAGGGCCTCGTCAAACTCTACCCAAACCTCGACACCTCCAAAAAGTTCAAGCAACACCAGCATGCCGTCCTCAAGCTCGCCGAGATCTTCCGAGACGCGAACGACCTCCAGAAATGCTACGAGACCGTCGACAGCTTCATCACCTATGCCCGTAACAAGGCCGAGTCATACCAATACGTCGACGCCCTCGACCTAATTTTGCCCGGATCTCCCATCTACGACGCCATCGAGGGCCGCTTCGGCCATGTATGGAGGACATACGAGACACAGGCCAAGCTGGTCGAGCAAAACGAGAAGAAGCGCATCAACACCCTGATCGGCGAGAGGAGGACGCGCATCGGCGCAAGAATCAGCGAGGTCACCCTGGAGGTCAAGAGAGAGGTCTACAGACAGAGCAGGCTGAGCTACACCTACGCCCAGCTCATCAACTGGACCAATGACGACGAAGTACGCCGCATGTACGAGGAGAAGCTGATCCAATACTGCCACGACCGTCTGATGGCCTGGCCTCCAGGAGAGGAAAAGGAGCGAGAACTGGCTAATGTCCTGAAGCTCGCCAACGACATGGTCATCATCAAACACCCCTACAAGCTAGCCTGGGATATTGCCATCAACTGGCAGGACCACAAGGAGATCAAGGAGTGGGATGTCACGGTGCTCAGACAGTACTGCACTTTCTTCCCCGATAGTGATCTCAACAGGGTGGTCATGGGTTTCTTGACCAGCAGCGTCTCTCCCTTCCCGCAGGAGAAGCAGGAACAGACGACAGAGGATGCGGCGGCCAAGAGTGAGGGCAGCACGGAAGAGAGCGAGGACGACGAGGATGGAGGCGCGGCCACCATCTACGCTCCCATCACCGAGGAAGACCGTCTTCTTATGATGACAGAGGGTATCAGCGGTGCCGAGTCTTTGTTGGCGTTCAGACTGATGGGCGAATACTACCAGTATCTGGAAGAATGGGAGAGCAATGTGGAGCTGATGCGCAAGGCGTTGACGTTCCTGAAAGAGGAGCGAGTCAAGACGGGCCTGGACTTCCGCTTTACCGAGGACGCCTTTTCCTTGTATCTCGGCACGGCGTTGGTCTTTTACCAGACTCCCCGTAACCACCAGGAAGCCAAGGCTCTTTTCGATGCGGTACTCGCTCACGACCCTACCTCCACTCCCGCCATGATTGGTGTTGGTCTAATCTACGAGGAGGAGGAGGAGTACGATGAAGCTATCGACTTCCTTGAGCGGGCTTTGAAGCGTGACCCCGATAATATCCGGGTCAGGACAGAGGCTGCCTGGGTGAAAGCACTCAAAGGAGACTTTGACATGGCCAGAGCCGAGCTGGAGGCCTGCATCCCCATCCTCTCCAAAAAGGGCCAGTCCAAGGAACTCCTATCCCAAACTCAGTACCGTCTTGGTTACTGCATTTGGAACATCGACACCTCCAAGGCTGCCCGGAAGGACAGGTCTGGAGCTTATGCCTTGTTCCTGGAGTCACTCAAGAACAACCTCAACTACGCTCCAGCTTACACCATCCTCGGTATCTACTACGCCGACTACGCCAAAGACAAGAAGAGAGCGCGCAGATGTTTTCAAAAGGCAGTGGAGCTTTCGCCGTCCGAGGTCGAGTCTGCTGAGCGGCTAGCTAGATCCTTTGCCGATGACGGAGACTGGGACCGCGTCGAGCTCGTTGCCCAAAGAGTCGTCGACTCTGGCAAAGTCAAGCCCCCACCTGGCTCCAAGCGCAAGGGTATAAGCTGGCCTTTCGCCGCTCTCGGTGTGGCCGAGCTCAACAAGCAAGAGTTCCACAAAGCTATTGTGTCCTTCCAGTCGGCTTTGCGTATTTCTCCCAATGATTACCATTCCTGGGTGGGTTTGGGTGAGGCATACCACAGCTCTGGTCGCTACATTGCCGCTACCAAGGCTATCCTGAACGCCCAGAAGCTAGAGGAAGCCTCTGAAGCAAACCTCACCGGAGAGACGTGGTTCACAAAGTTCATCCTAGCCGACATTAAGCGCGAGCTGAGTGACTTTGATGAGTCCATCGAGCTTTATCAACATGTCATCCAGGAGCGGCCGGACGAAGAAGGCGTCGCCACTGCCTTGATGCAGACACTCGTCGACAACGCGTTTGACAGTCTCAACAAGGGCTTCTTTGGCAAGGCTGCCGGTCTGGCCACCGAGACACTCACCTTTGCCACCAAGGCTCCTGATGCCATCAAGGACACCTTCAACTACTGGAAGGCCATCGGTGACGCTTGCTCCTTGTTCTCCAACATCCAAGGCCGCATCTCCGAGTTCCCGGCTGAAACTGTTTCCTCGCTCCTTGGGACCGACGAGGACTTCCCCGCCTACCAGATCCTCAAGGACATTGATAACGTCGGTACTGGCATCGTCTCCACCGATGGCGTTTTTCCCAAGGACGAGACTGTCGGCGTAGACTTGACCAAAGCCCTCCAGGCCACCATCCTCGCCCACAAGCGCTCCATTCATATCGCTAGCAACGATATCCACGCGCAGTCCGTGGCCTACTACAACCTCGGCTGGGCCGAATACCGCGCTCACGCCTGTCTGCCTCCGGATATCCGTAAGAACAGCCACAAGAAGCCCACCAACTACATCAAGGCCGCCATGGCCTGCTTCAAGCGCGCCATTGAGCTCGAGGCTGGCAACTCCGAGTTCTGGAACGCTTTGGGTGTCGTAACCTCCGAAGTCAACCCAGCCGTAGCTCAGCATGCCTTTTGCCGCTCGCTCTTCCTGAACGAGCGCGGCGCCCACGTCTGGGCCAACCTGGCCACTTTGGCTTTGGCGCAGGGCGATCTTGCACTCGCCAACGAAGCATTCACGCGGTCCCAGTCCACAGACCCCGATTACTCACTCGCTTGGCTGGGGCAGGGTGTTGTGGCGCTTTTGACAGGCAACGAAAAGGATGCTCGGGGCTTGTTCACGCATGCCATGGAGATCTCGGGCGATACCTCACGGGTCATCAGCCAGAGATACGCAGTCTCCATGTTCGATCACATCCTCTCGTCGTCCTCCTCCGAGTCCCTCCCCATCACGTCCCTAATCCAACCCATCTTCGCCCTCACCCAACTGCAATCCCTTCACTCCTCCGCCTCGTCCTCCACCGACCTGGCCTACACCCACCTCCTCGCTCTCTTCCTCGAGCGCACCGGCGAGATTCCGAGGGCTATCTCCATCCTCGACTCCCTCTCCACCACTCTCGAGCAAGAATACGAAACGACCGAGTCGCCTCTAGCCCTCAAACACTTCGCCATCGTCAAATCCGACCTCGCCCGCCTGCAACTATCCGCTCGTCTCTTCAGCGAAGCAATCGACTCCGCCGACCTCGCACTCCAACTCTCCTCCGACGAGTCCGCCGACGAACTAACAGCCGAAGAGCGCCGCAAGCTGCGTCTCTCCGCGCACGTCACATTGGGGCTAGCGCACTACTACTCCCACGACATCACCGCCGCAGTCACCGCCTTTGACCAGGCCCTCTCCGAGTCCGACACCAATCCTGACGTCGCCTGCCTACTAGCTCAGATCCTCTGGGCCACGGGCCAAGAAGCCGCTCGCGAACGCGGTCGGGATCTCCTGTTTGGCGTGATTGCGGACTCGGAGGAAAGAAAGGAACAGCATGTCCAGTCTGTTTTGCTGCTAGGCGTGATTGCCCTGCTAGATAACGACGCAGAGTCAATGGATGCCGTGGTGTCCGAACTCCAAAGTCTCCGCTCCAGTGACGAGGGAATTAGCCCGGAGCAGCAGGCGCAGTTGGGTCAGGTTTTGAGGGCGATCCTCACTGCGATGGGGTCGGGAGAGGCCCAGCCCATGACGGATGTCATGTTGCATCCGTTCTTGCCGCATGGTTGGTCGAGGGTTGCTCAGTTGGCTGCCCAGCAGGGAGGAGAGGAGGAGGCGGAGGGAGCAAGTGAGATGGCGCTGAGAGTAGCGAGGAAGGGCGTACCGCCTAGGGGAGAACTGAGTCCGGAGGATTTGGCGAGGGCGTATGCGGGCACGGGAAGGCCGGCGGATGCGCAGGTGGGTTGTGTGGTTGCGCCTTGGGAGCGGAGGGGGTGGGAGAGTTTGGGGGATGCGGTTACGGCTGTTGCGGCGAAGCAGTAGAAGTATGGTGGGAATATTTATTCCCCTTGCTTCCACCCCTTCCGTCGCCGCCGCCGTCGACACCGGCCCCTCTCAACAAGATATTTCCATAGTAGTGTAGTGTAGCGGTTCTGGTATCTACGTTAAATACCTTCAGGTATAGCTATAGGGTCAAGGTATCCGATGTATCGTCAGATGGCCCTTATCCAAAACGCCTACACTACGCTGCATATCTCTACCTCTAAGGTCTCCAGGTTTAAGAAACATCAGCGGGTGTTAGATTTGTCATACATCTGTAACCCATCTCATTCACCTTGTCCCCTAGAATACCTGTTTTGTGTTCTTCTATTTCTTCAAACTATCATGCTTCCATGACATGACATGACATGACGTGACATGACCTTTGTCTTCTACCTATCCCTAGGCGCGTCCATGCCTCTTCCCTAGTCTCTTCCTAGAGCGAAGAGGCCTTAGCGGGGAGAGCTGCCCTTTTGTAAGTCTTCATCGTGTGCAGTCCAGTCCAGTGGAACCCCGTAACCAAGGGATTGAAAGCCGCAATGCGCACGGAAGGGAAGATGAATGCAAGCATCGCGAAAGAGCAAATGATAGAAAGCGGGAGAAGAAAAAAAAAGCGTTGAATATCCGACAAAAGAAAAGCAGGGATCCATACTAGGTAGGGAATGGGAAAAGAAGATGCAAAAAAAAGAAAAAAGAAAGAATATGATGATCCGACCCAGGCTCGATCTGGGGACCTTCAGTGTGTTAGACTGACGTGATAACCAACTACACCATCGGACCGTTGTGATTGTTATTGGTGAGCCTTGATTCCTGGCCCTATATTGATGGGTTGTGGCTGACAGATTTCCTCATTTGGGCACGGTTACCGTTTTGACAAGCAATAGGCGTTCATGAAAATCAAATGAAAATACTACGAATCTATAAGAAACGTAGATTCATGTTGTCGACTATCGTAATTTACCCTGTTGTCTCGTCCATCTTGAGGCTAGCGCCCGTCGTGTATAGGCGGGGACGAGCTAGGTAGGGGAGCAGGGGAGTTAGGGGAGATAGATGCTCGCAGGGTAGTTAGCGCCAGCGCTGTGAAACACTACGAACAGCTAGGAGGTACTAACATTTACGTTTGCCAGTGCTATGAACCCGAAGAATTCTAGAATCTTGTCTGATGCTCCTGCGATTTCGCGTTCGTTTCCTTTAACAATCAACTCACCTTCACAAACACTCAGTCGAAACTCTTTTTTGCGACTTCTCTAATCCTCAAAGATTAGCTCCCACGATAGGCGCAAAACAGCTTATATTTGAGACGCGGCAGGAAGACGCCAGTACTCAACTGCACAAGTGGACGACATCTTGGGGAGAACTCAGTTTTGTCATCAGATTCAATTTGGAGGGGACAAAACACCAGAATTTCGCAAGGAAAAACATCACGACCTAAACAAACCCCGTTACCATCCAACACAGCTTACGAGCAGTCGTAAACCCGCCGTCACGAAACAGCCAGATTTCAACCAAGTCATCACAAAGCTGATAGGCAAACTCATCTTAGCCTCCAAACTCCCATCACCACCAGCAACCGCAACCAAATCAGCAACTATCCATCACCACCACCGTTCACTGCCCATCGCCGCCCTGGTATCATCACCAACACAACCACACCACCAGATTCTACCCACCAAAATGGAAACAACCCGCACCCTCCACCGCCAACTCACCACCGACTCCCACACCACCTCCCTCCCCATCCCCTCCCTCTCCTGGCTCACCACCCTCATCCCCTCCACCACCTCTCGCAACATCCCACCCCTTCCCTCCCTCCTAGCCACCGCCCGCCTCCGCCTCCTTTCCTCCGACCTATCCACGCCCGGTCTCCTCGACCCCAGCTACGTCTCCTCACACAGCTTCCCCCCCTCTCTAACATCCGGTCATCACCCAACTACGGGGTACCCAAAAGACCAGACCCTCCCACAAGACGTCCTAGTCCAAGTCCTCGATATAGTCAACCTGTCCCGCTCCAAATGGGAAGTCGTCGAAGAGCTCGAGTCCATCGAGCGCGGGGAGCAGACGCGCGGGAGGGAAGTTATTCGGTTACCTACTACCTCCAATAATCCCGACGACCCCAACGACGGGGTAGATATGGGTGACGGCGGGACCCAAACCCAACCCACCACCACCACAACAACAGCCCAGCAACAAGCAGCGGCCCAAGCAAAAGAACGCAAAAACGCAACACACAAATTAACCCTCCAAGATCCCTCAGGGCAGAGACTTTTTGCTCTGGAACTAAAAAGAATAGAAGAAATTGCCGTGCCGCAGTTCTTCAACGGAAAAATGGTTGGAGGGACGCCGATCGGGTGTAAGTTGTTGTTGAAAAAGGGGACAAAAGTGGCGAGGGGGGTGGTGTTGTTGGAGCCGGGGATGGTGAAGGTGTTGGGGGGTAGGGTGGAGGGGTGGGGGAAGGTTTGGGAACGGGGACGGTTGGAGAGGGTGAGGGGGGAGGTGAATCTGGTTCAGAGGTAGTTTAGAGGGAGTGAGTGGTGGTGATGAAAGGGAGAGGAGGGAGGGGAGTAGGGGAGTGGGGGACAATAGGGGGACAATAGGGGGACAATAGGGGGACAATAGGGGGTGGGAGGATATAAAAGAGAGGTAATGGGGGGGGGGGAGGGGGGGGGGAAAGTGGGAGGGCGAGGTAGGGGAA